AACCTCCTTGAAATGTATAACTAGAGTCAACTCTATATGCTCCTTTAGTAAGTAGCGGTAAGAAGAATCAAGTCAAAGAAGGATCGAGTAACTGAGTATTAAGCAGTGTTTGAAAAAGCAGTGTGCAAGTCCCCATTCTAGGAAGGAAGAAGGGCATTGTCAGATGGGTTCCTTAGATGCTGTAAGTAGACGTAAGTAAAGGAAACAAGGATAATTTGACAAATGGCAACAGGATGTTACAGGAAGGGGTAAATAACTCACCAAGTATTAGATCCTCAAGTACAAGATCTAAATTAATTTCTTTTACCTTGTTCTGCAGTGAGATGTAGGCATTCTTAATTCAGTTTTTAGTGGTTTAATTCCATTTTCCATTTGGACATTTTCACTGCTTCATAGATCCCCCTTCAAATGTTTTGGTTCCAAATTATATTTCCCACTTAAATAATCTGAGTTCAGATCCTGCTGGTGCATCTAAGCTTTAGAGGAAAACGAACATAAACTCTTAACTTAGCTCTTTTAATAAAGAGATAAGGAATTTTGCTTTTAAAAGTTGTAACATTTATACACATATGTTTTATATAAAAAGTTCACATTTACAACTGAATAAGGTCTCCCATGTTTTCCTGACATTAGATGAATTAAAGGGGCTAGACATTTTCTAAAGGATAGTGGGGTAAGGGTAATACAGATTTTCTTCTTAGGAAGAAACCAAGAATATGTTTCTTGATGTGAAAGGAAGACTTTCAGTCTTCTAAATACCTCCTTTCCTCATCAAACAGAAAACAGATAGGTGCAGTAAAAACACATGGTGAATTCATGTCTTAATTTTACCACACCCAAAATCCAAGTCCCAGATGCCAGCAGTTTTTTAGTAAGCATGCTTTTCCTCCTGTTGATCAAGATATGTGAGTAAGACAAAACTTGGCTTTCTTGCTTGATGTGGTATCTTGTGAGTTGTGTTTTCTTTTCTAATGCACTAGAGGGAAGAAAAATAGCAGAAGTTTTTAAAATGACAACTCTATTTTTAAATGAGTTGAAAATTTGATTAAATTATGTATTTTATTGCCTCTGTGAGTATCATGTTAAAAGAATATTTTATTTTAAGGGCTTGAATAAATGAAAATAATTTTTGTAATGTTTGGTCTATTTGTATCATTTGTGAAAACTGTCAAGATTTCTTCTCATTCAATTCTAGGGATACAAATAAGGTGGAGGTTCTGAGATTAAATTTTGTTTGAAAAATGCCTGACAAATTCTTAATTAAATGCTCTGATAATTAGGTCTCTCACTGTTACTGATTGAGGTTTTCCAAAGAAAATTATACTGGGTGAACATCAGTAAAAAATTCCTTAAAATTGTCTGACAATAAGACCTTATTGAAAATAATGTCAAAATCATGTGTACTTAGAAATAATACCAGAACATTCTATGTTCTATGAAAAAAAGCCTGTAGATAGATGAGAGAGAGAGAGAACACGAACACTCTTAACTTAGCTCTTTCAATAGAGAGGTAAGGGAATTCTGCTTTTCAAAGTTGTAACATTTATATATTACATACTTTAATTATGGTTCTCATGCATTAAAATCTTTTATCAATGATACTTGAAGAACTTAAAGTTGTGGACCTGATTTGACTTCTCAAAGACATATTTCTGCTCTACATCTAGGAATCTTTTACTCTTTCCAGTAGGACACAATTTCTTTTTCATGGAATATTTGACACTCCATTGTCTCTCAAGTCTTTACCCCTTCAAAACCATATTATTCTAGAACAGGAATATTCAAACTTTGGAATGGGTACTTCTGGGAGTTCTTAAAGTTGCCCTAAGGGTATGCAGACATGGATAGGAAACCAACTTCCATTTCTCCAGCTTCCGTTTGTACACTTTCCCATATCTTCACTGCCCAAGATACTCCTGGCTTAAGTTGTCCTACAGTTCTCCTTTCATCACCAGGGTTCTCTCTCTTGACAAAAGGAAGACCTTACTCTTACCCATCTTACTCTTACTATGGTGCATTGGCTCAGGGTGGAACACCAAACCAGACAATTCAAAATAGTGGTGTCTCAGAAAGTTTCCTTATCTTTCTAAATTGTATAGATATTTATTTAAAACTTTAGAAATTGGGCCCTTTGGACTGTGGTAAGATGTTTTGAACAGAAATATTTTAAAGCTGGGGAAAATGAAGACATTTCTCTGTTAGTTATCTAGCCACTTCGATACCTATTAAATAATAATAATAACAATCACTCTTGAGGGTAATCCTATGAAAGCAAGCAAAGAGACACTGGTTAGAAAAATTATAAGAGGACACACACAAGAACAGATATATGCACACCCATGTTCATTGCAGCACTATTTACAATAGCCAAAAGATGGAAACCACCCACCAACAGAAGAATGGATAACCAAACTATGGTACATGCACACAGTGGAATATTATGCAACAATAAAGAATAACCTAAACTCTGCAAAACACCACATAATGTGAATGAACTTGGGGGACATTATGCTGAGTGAAATAAGTCATTCACAGAAGGACAAATGTGATATTAGTTCATTATTGTAAAAAGTCAAGGAAAGGTTTATATATGGAAGGAAACTTTCTTCTTCTTCTTCTTCTTCTTCTTCTTCTTCTTCTTCTTCTTCTCCTCCTCCTCCTCCTCCTCCTCCTCCTCCTTCTTTTAATTGTGCTTTAGATGCAAATTTACAGAGCAGAATTTGTTTTACATTGAACTGTTTGTGTACATTTGGTTTCACTCCCCAATTTCCATCCCTAACCCTAACCCCCTCTATTCCTTTCCCTTCCCAGTAACCCCCATCTCCCTGAGCTCTTCTTAGTTACGTACTCCTGTCCATCCAGATTTTCCTCTGTGTGAATGTTGCCCCTCTGATGCCCCATGGCCAATTGCTCCAAGGGGTGCATCCTCCTGGGTTGAGTGTTCTACATGTCATTACTATTGGGCTGAGAGCCAGCCCTTGGGAGTGAGTTTTATCCCAAGCCTGAAGTATGTCCCAGGGCCATAGTCTTGAGGGTTCCGCTAGACTCCATCTGACTAGTAATTCTGGTCATTATTGTGTTTTTGGATTTTGTTTCACATTTTTCCTCCCATTCTATCCAGGATCTCCAGTTTTGATCTCTTTCCAAGTGGTTGGCATTGGTAGCCAAGCACCATCTAGTTCTTCTGGTCTTAAGGTCTATCATATCCTAGGACTGATTGTTTTCAAATGCCCTTGTTTTTTCGGGTTTTTTTTTTTTTTCCACTCTTCTTCGCTTCCAGCTAGAGGAGACTATCAGCTGCATCTTACGTTCTTACATGGCCACTCAAAAGCTTTCAAGACCCCAGTTGCAGCTCACCAAAGCAGACTGTGGAACAAGATTTTTATGTATTTTGTTGTGCCAGTTGAGTCTGGTGTCTCCCAGTACTATGGTCTTGGGTTGGTAGATCAGGTGGATCTCTCTCCCACAGTGTCTGGCTGTCTATGAGAGATTGCTCTATGTCTGTCTTCTGTTGCTTCAGTAATGATTGTGGGTATTTTGTATCACTAGTATCTGTGCAAGATTAGCCTTTACTACACTTGGTGTCAGAGAAGGCTAATTTGAAGTATAATTATAGTCTTGCAGACAAACATATTCATGCATACATATATACAGGGCTAAAAGCAAAGAGAGACGATAGTATTATTTAAAATTAAAAACAGTAATTTAAGATATGTAAATATAAAGCTTTCCTACATACTGAAGCAACAGAGTTTTCAGCTGAATTATTAATCTGCAGTAGGTAAGTGATTTCTTAGGTCATGATAGCTACACAATCCTCACACCAGTTGTTTATAAAGAACAGCTTTTATAGAGGAACAAATATGAATCTATCTGCCACTGGGGACATAATCTTTTTATAAGTACTCTTGTGGGACTAAATAGTGTTACAATGGTGAAGGCTACTC